GTCCATTGAAATCACGGACGCCGTGCGGGGGCGGGGGACCGGCATTGCGCGGGGTGGCTCGGTTCCCGCGGTTTTCCTCCGCGGGTGCTTAGCACTGGAGTGGGCCGCCGAGGCAGGGAGCGCGATGGCCGCTTCCTCCGGTGGCGGCAAACCCCTGCAGCCCGTCACGCATGTCATCTTTGACATGGACGGCACTCTCGTGAATACCGAGGACATCTTTACCGCCATCATCAAAGAACTCTGTGGCCGCTACGGGAAGACGTACACTTGGAAGGAACAGTCCCAGATAATGGGCAGGAGAGAAGTGGAAGCCCTGGAGATCCTCCGAAAGCTCCTCGATCTGCCCTTGACCTCTGAGGAAATCCTGCGCGAAACCAAACAAAAGAAACTGCAGCAGTACCCCACCGCGGCCTTGATGCCGGGGGTGGACAAGCTGGTGCGCCACCTGCACCGGCACAAGATCCCCATCGCCATCGCCACCAGCTCCATCCGCGAGGCGTACGAGATGAAAACGGGCCACCTGAGGCCCCTTTTCGGTTTGTTCCATCATATTGTGATGGGAGACGACCCTGAAGTAAAAGAGGGCAAGCCGCAGCCCGATATATATTTAGTTGCTGCAAAGAGGTTCGAGCCGCCGGTACCTCCGGCAAAGTGCCTCGTGTTTGAAGACGCGCCGAACGGGGTCAAAGCGGCCCTGGCGGCCGGCATGCAAGTCGTCATGGTACCCGACGGCAGCCTGCCGAAAGAGCTGACGAAAGAAGCCACCCGCGTCCTGCCATCCATGAATGATTTCAAGCCAGAAATATTTGGCTTGCCGAAGTACGATTGACACTCGCTCTCTGTTGATCTTACGGATTTAGGTTTTCCGATCGGAGGACGTTCTTCCAGTATTAAAAGCATTCCAAAGATTTCTAAGTGGTACTATAAGACCATGCTCTGTTCCTGGTTAATCCACTTATTGAAATCCACCAGTGCTGGGTGGAAAAAGATGAGCTGTACTGTACAGTATTTGTTACGCCTATTCTACTTGCTAACAGGTATCCTGCCAAGGGATAAACTGATGCCTTGCATGGGAGCACATGTAACTATTCAGCAGTTCTCCATACAAGATAAGCAAATTTTTAGGGTCCTTGCATGCAACTCAATGTAGCATTCTCTATTTTATTAGCAAAAAAGAGGTGCCACTGCAACTCCCAGAATTCCCGGTTAGCATGGCCATTGGCTACTCGGGCTGTGTATGATGGAAATTAAAGTCTTAACATCTGCAAGGTACCAGATTCCTAGCTGGGGAATGCTGAAATTTTGTCTCCAACTGATGCCTCTTTCCCCAAACAAGATGCAGTTCATTCACTTACTGCTCGCATTAATTTGATTCCAATATGATTAGCCATAACTTGTTAACTAGTGTATTGATTAAGTCACAGTTGTCTGGATTTACACAGTACCCTAAGCCAAAATTAAACCACATTATTCTAACCCATAATGTTAGTTAGCATGTGTGAACCCAGTCAATAGGGTTTGTAAACTATAAAGCAGCATGTTGTGTGAGCCTAGCTAGTTGTAGTTTATTCAATAAATAATGACCTAACAATGTGTGAATCAGGTCGTGTTGTTAACCTCAAACAATCACATAATAGCCAACTTAAGGCAACATGCTAAACCAAGTAGATTAATTAATGAGAATATACACAACCTGCTATCTACTTTCCAATTAAATGTTGAAAAATTATTTATTTATTTATTGAATTTATACAGTTGCTCATTTCAAATACACACTTCTAGGTGGCTAACTGTTTAAAATAAAAACAGTATAACAAAATTACATGTGCCATCTCAACTAGTTTTGGTTAGAACAAACTGAAATTTCAAACCAACACTTTGTGGAAATGAATTGGAATATGCTCCATGTTTGGGTGACACAATCACAGGGCAATAATTAGTTATGATTAAAAATTACAATTATGGTGCATATATCAGTCAACCAAAGTAATTTAGTATATCATGCAGGCATACTCAGTTTCTCATATGTTCCATTACAATTTAGTTTTTTTTTTTTAAAATATGATCTAAAGTATTAATCAGGGTCATCTCATGTGGAGAGCAATAAGTTTAGTGCTTTCTAAAGTCTTTCTGAACTGATACAAACTTACATAGAAATAACCTAATTTATAGCTTCAGCAATGTTATTTTTCCCTTCTATTCTTTAATCCTAAACAATGTAGGATTTATATTACTGCTTATTGGTGGGGGGGGGACTAATTGAGGTTAGCAATACGCCAGAATAAAATCAAACCCATTGGCTGCATTCATGCAGCATATTAGGGAAAAATGCAGTTTGTTTTATTCAATAAGATTAAAATGTGACAATGTCTTAGGTGAACCAGGCTACACTGTTACCATTCTAAAATAGTAATTTGAATAATTAATCTCCTATGGAACATTTATTAAGCTGCAAGAGTAAGTTTGTGCATCCTTTGTTTATTTTGGCTTGTTCTTTGAACATAGGCATTGTGGTTGTAAAAAAGCCAATCTACAGTATTACCAAGACCAGCCTCTGAATATATACACATAAGTGCAGTTTTTTGCCATTGTTTTGCTGACTTGTATGTCACATCTCTCTTGCTTGCTCTCTCCCACTTTGTATTCCTGTCTATATCTTCCATTTATTAACATTCTTCTTTTTAATTTTATGTTTTATTTACATTCTGTTTTCTAGAAGTTCAGGGCACTGTAATCAATACACTCTACTGCAGTTTTATCTCTATAATAACTTTGTGAATTGGTTGTATTAAAAGATAATAACTAGCCTAAAGTTACCTAGTGAACTTCCATGCTGAGTATGGGTTTAACCCTAAGTTGTATCTGCTTCATACTTAGGTGGGAGAGCCTTTGGAAATAGGGCTGTAGGCTAGACAAGGAAGTGGAGAAAACATCTCAGAAAAAGACAGTGGGAAACTATTTCCATAGTCACCAAGAAAGCTACATGGATACATCCATGAAGTTATGAAGAATCAAGGTTGATTCATAGGAGGCTTCATGCCAACAGCTGCCAACACGCAACAGTATGCAATAGTGGACTATTACCTTCCAGCATATGTTTGTGGTCTTCCCAAACCTAATGAGTTGGCCTCTGTGTGATACAAATGCTGGACTATACCAGCTTATGGCCTGATCCAGCTGGA